GGAAGACCTGCGCGTGCGAGGGCTTCCACCGCGCGGTCGCGCTGGACGACGAGGCCATTGTCATGCGCAGTCGCGTCCCTGTGAGTTGCCGCGCCCTCTCCCGCGGTGGGCCCTGGGTTAGCGGCTTCGCCAACGCGGGTACGGCGCAAGGGTGCAGCGGCGCGCTGCGAGCGAGGCGGCTTGCGGCTCCCGCACAAACTGATGTGCGAAAATCCGGGGCCGAACGGAGCGATTGCGCCTCGTGCGGCGTCCGCGCCTGAGGCCGCTACGGCAGCGAGTGCGGAGGGCAGCGCGCGCTCGTCGCACAGCAACCAAGCAAGGGCACACAAAATACTGGCACGTGGTGCTTTTGCTTCCTTGCATACGCGTACAGGTTGCAGGAGCTCCGGCCGCGGCTCCGGCTCCGGCTGCGAGCACGGTCGCGCTCGCCAGCCCCATCGCCTGTGTCCACCTGGGCATCCGCCATCGCCAAAATAGCTGACAGAGCCATCCCCACCGCACGCCACGTGGCCGCTGGCCAGATGCGGTGCGCCACGGCATGGTTGAGCCGGGCTTGGGCGGTGCGGCTCCACAGGCCCATGCCACACACGTCGCATCGGCTCGCGGCGGCCATGGCAGGAGCTGCTGGCGAGCGGCTGGGAGCCAGAAAGCAGATGGCTGCGGGTGGCGCGGGCTGAAGGCTTTGCAAGCACAACAACATGCACAACAACAAGCGGCACATGCACTCACTCCCCCCCCAGTTTGGCTCAAAGCCGACCCTGCCCGTGCCGCTGGCAAGGCGCGTTCCGCTAGTGTGGGCGGCTTCGGCGTCGGGGGTGCGACGGCATCGCGGCGGCGCTGGCTGCAGGGGACAAGGCCAGGGCCTCTGCCAATGCTGCCGGAGTCAACCCAGCGCCGGTGGCAAGCGCGTGCAGCTCGTCGCCTCCCAAGGCCACGCAGCGCAGTACCGCCCGCGTCAGTGGCGCTAGCTGGAGCAGAGCAAGCGTCCAGGCGGCTATATACGGCCGGAGCAGAGCCCCCAGGAGCAGGCCCAAGAGCAGCCAGCCCCACGCGAGCGACAATGGCGCGAAGCCGGCGGAGAAATACACCGGGTCCATGCCCGAGCAGACCAATGCTGCATGGGCTGCAGCTTGCCGGCAAGTCGCAGGCAGGCCGGCTGCCGCACGGGCCGCGTGCCATCCGTGCGACGCGGCTGACGCCCCCAACGTAACCAGGTGAGCGAGCAGCGAAGTCATGCCATGCGCGAACGGAGAGTTGCTTGCAAGATGACTTGAGGCCATACGATTGAAGGCTTGAGCCTTGAATGTTTGCACTTCCCGCAAGTCTCCTTGCATTGTTGTTCGATAGGAGCCGTCGTAGCGATCACATGGAAGCTATATAGCCGATCCGACACGCAGTCATCACGGCAAGAAGTGCCAGAACAATTTGCAGACATGCTGGGTAGAAAGCCATGAGGATTATAATGTGCACACGGGAGAAAATATAATGATGAGACATTGTGCCATAGCACGTTCAGAAAGCACAGCGGCCAAATCGTGATGTTTCATGATTTAACGAGACCCGCGAAGTAGCAAAAGTTGCTCGCCAATGAAGTCTGGTTTCAAAACTGGTCGTGCGCATGCCTTACCGTTGTGTGCATCATGAACTATAGCGAAGGGAGCAAGTGAATTCATCCATGTTGCTACCACCTGTCAGACCAGGTCGTTCGATGGGTGGAGGGCAAAGGGTGGTGAGCTTAGTGACTCATGATCATGCGCCAACCCAACGCATTCCAGCGCACATGCCAGAGACGAGTCCGTTGACACCATGTGTCATGGTCAGAGCGTGAATGCCAGGTTTGGTTTCATTTCGCCTGATGATGGAGGTGTGGAATGGAAAGCAAAGGTCAAAAGAAATCCTTGCATGTCGTGGCGGGTATCAAGGGCCAGACGTCTTCGTGCACGCACGCGAGGCCACAAGAGGGTGCTCGTAATCGATACGTGAAACATGCACAGCTGCAGCTCGTGCAATTGCTCGTGATCTCAAGGCTGGCATGCTGAATTCTGGCGATCGAGCAGTTGCCCAAAGATTCAGAACTGAGGCCAGTTTTTCATGCAGCGTATGGATGCCTTCACAGGTGCAGTTTCGCGAAAAAGATGACAGAATGGGTGGGCCGCTGAGCTGGCGCGCGCAGAAACCACAGACGAGCTTGTTTGCTGATCTGTTGGTCGCATGTCTGTGCCCAGGCAAAGCTCGATCTGAAGCGTGCCAAATAACAGTGTTGGAGGCACAGTCTTGAGTGAGAATTCGGTTTTTTTTGAGTCTGTTGCAGACTGGTACTGTCAGAGTTTCGTTTGAGCAGGAAGCCGGAAGCAAGCGGCATGGGCGTGGTCGTACTCCCAGTATTGAACTAACCCATGGAGGGCCCGGCCAAGCCAACGAAACGAATTCTTGCGCCACGTAGGCCGCCGGCAACGTTGGCTTCTCAGCTCCAAGATGCCCAGAGGACATGCACAAGCCAGCTTTGCAGGACGGAGATCACCAAGTGATGGCTACAGTTCGTACTGCGATGGCAGCTTCTGCCTCAATAATTGAGCTGCCTGTGCTGAGCAGTGGAGCGAAATTTTGAGATGCAGGTTATGAGGATGATGACGGTGACAAAGACAGTCGGCAAGGCGGTACGGGTCTTTGGACGCAATCAGTGCATGCAAGCATCGCTGTGCAAGTGAAGTTGGTTGTGTACGCTAGCTTCCGCATGTACAGCTTTGCGGGAGGTCAGCAGGTCTGCTTTGTATAGAAGCGTGTGGTTCTGTGTGTTTCACAGGACATGAATCTCGGGAGAGGAGCAGGCAGGGCTTCACCACCAAGCACGAGCAAATGGTTGCAGCATGCTGCAGCAAAGTGCTGCCATTGCATCCGCATTTCAGGTCAAGAAGACGACGTCGTCGGCGGGCAGGCACGGCGCGAGCCGTCAACTTTTCGCCAGCCTATTTGTGCTGTGCTAATGATGTCATCTCAAGGTGACGAGCAAGGGCAGCAACACCGGCGGACAAGACGCCGGCGACGTTGACATGTTGTCAGGGCAGTAGCACCAAAAGGTTGAAGTGGACCGTGCAGACCGCTTGCGAAGCCACACCGTGGCCAAGATGCAGACCAGCACAAGCTCGAATTCCGTTCATTTACCGTCTTCGCCAAATTGCAGCTTGTAAGATTTCTGTAGGGTGGGCTGTACCATTCGCATTTCTCGGTGATGATGTTTTGACGTGTGCTGGTAGGGCGCTGTAGGGTTGCGAGGGCCGGGAGCCCGAGGAAAGCAATCAGCCAGCCCAAGCGCAACACTGGGGGCAGCACTATTGCGCAGTTGCTCGCGACTTTTATGTCTTGCGGCAGTGGGGACCTACCACAAGAAGATAACATCCGCCTTAAATGCCCCATTTCTTAAGATCGTTTCTCGATCGGTGCGGGACATCCCGGTAGAAAGGCAAACACTTTCCGTTCCATGCCTCCAAGCATTCACGGATTCTAGACGTTGTGGTCTTTGTATGCATCCGTTCGTGTGCTTCTCGTACAGCCGTACATGCAAGTGAGTGGCAACAAATCACGTTCTACAAACCTACGCCTAGATTCCTAGATGTTTCTTTCATCAAAGCAAAATCCACCAGCAGCCCGGCAGCTTCAAAGTGTAGCGTCAGCAGGCCTGCCCAAAGCATTGCCGCTAGCTTTGTAGAAAGCGCCAAATTCATGCAAGTTCACAGGCGCCGCCACATACAGAAGCCGTTGTTTTTTCTGCAAACTCGGCTGCGCATGCTTTTCGTAATTCCAAGGATGCGGCCTGATCACATCGTTTACCTTCCGGATGGCTTTGCCACTGCCAAACGAGAAATCATGATTGTGAGTCTGACTCATGTCGGGCTGTCGATTGCGGTCCCACTTAAACTGGGCTTCCGGCAGCGGTGCGTCGCAAGAGCCAGGAGCACCAAGACTCTTGCCCTAGTTGCTTTCTGAAGATATCGTTTAAAGTCTTGTGCTGTAAAAGCTGGTTCATATAGGTTCGACGAGAACCAGTAGATGTATTTCAGATGCCCAACCAGAAGAATAAGAAGCAATGGCATTCAATTTACTGTGGGTCGTGCCTTGTGTAGTCAAAGCGGTGTGAGATCTGTCGCTTGCACTAGTATCGGCATGACGCCTGCGTTGCATGTTATGGACGACGAGACGCGCCTTCGATACCATGCCGAGCTATATCCAAGACGCACAGAAGAACATACGACTAGGAACGAGTAGTTGCAATCAAGATAACTGCGGCAACAATCGGCTGGACTAGAGCAAGTCCCTGAAAGCTTCGCAGCCGATGTTTGAGATATGAAGCATACATGTATGGGTTCGAGCCAAGGGTTGAACTCATGTCAGGAGCATTGGATCACAGGGATCTCTGCAAAGCACCAAGCATTGTTGGAGTTTTCTAAATTACACCATGCTTCGGACATTCTGTCCTTTCGGCTGTCGGTCTTAACTTGATGTTTGTCTCAGGCACAGGCTTCTGATTGGTTTTCGTACTGATAACAGAGTTGCAGAGAGTTGCATATTTTTGGAAGCAGGCATGGACTCAAGCCGAGACAGGAGAGTAGCGAAAGCGGAGGACGTGCCCAGGCTTTAGTGTGACATCAGCTCCGCAGATGAACTTGGCATGGTTTCTGTCTTTATTCCTGGAAGGGCATTTGAGCCTTAAGCAGTATCACGGAGATTCGAAGCTGTTCACTTTTGTGGGGCAAAGCGAATATTGCATGAATTGTGCAGCCATGCCGCCGTGCTAGCGGCTGCTTGCGAGGAGCTTTGCAGATACAAGTGCAATTCTGCAATTCAGCAAAGAAGCGTGGCACAGCTGCGACCTGTGTTTTATCATGAATCATTGCGTGAACTCTCGCAGGCAGCATTTGCTGCTTTTGCGCAATGCTGCAGGTCAGGTTTTGGCAAAATGCCCGCGCGGATACGTTGTTTGAAAATGCTGTGTTGGCAGATGATGGCCAGCGCGGCTTTGGTGCTTGGGGTTCTACTTTTGGGCGTCACCCTGGCACGATTACTGCCGCACCACTACTGTGAATTCACTTGAGTCGCAAGCTCTATGACTTGCACAAGAATCCCACAGCTCGGGTTAGCCACTTAGGCACATGGCAGGTTTTGTTGGTCCTACTGTGCAGCCGATTCTTTCTTGCATCCATGGCCCCGGGCCGAGGCTGCAGAAAACCATCAGTACCGATTTCAAAACCAGCACATTGCTCATGAGGACAACCCTCATGTGATCGTGCTTGTTTTGGGCGACATTGGGAGAAGTCCTCGCATGCAGCTCTGCACTCATCATGGCAATTGCTCCCGAGAAATGAGTTTCAAGAGCGTGCTGGTGCCACAGGTATCATTCGCTTTCGTTAGCCAGACATGGTGGGCCCCACATGCTTTCACTTGCCAGATTGGTGTTCATGACACACGAGCTGCACAGCAGCTGTGCAAGCACATCTCTGAAGGCTGTGATGTAACCATCATTGGCTACCCGGGAGTTCCAGCCTCAGTGCAAGCGCGTGTATCTAAATGACACTAACTGGGTTGACATGGCATGTAGAATCCAAGGCTGAGCCCATGGCCGCGTCGCCTGCGGGCTTCCAGGAAGTTGGAGCGGCTGCAATGACATGCGGCCGAAGTGCCAGGAGTTAACGAACAGCCGGATACGCATTCGGCATGTGATGCCCTTGGCGGGGCGCCGAGGTTCTTCAAGGTGAATTGAGTGCTGCCGGAGCCCACAGAAAACCGAGGAGATTTCATGGCTTCCCTTCACACTTCGGGCTGGAGTAAAGGTGCAAGCCCTAGTAGTAGGCCCCACTAGGCTCGGTCTTTGTGGCGAAAGCAAGGTTGTGAAAGGCAGTGGGTTGTCGTTGCAGGTACTGTCATTGCTTCTTCGCTTGCTGGCGCTGCTACTGTGAATACCTCGGAATTCAGTAGGGGCTTGTGAGCCAAGTCAGCTCCTGTGTTGCGTGTGTCATGACTTCGATCTCTGCCAAGCAAGCACAGTAAGCACACCCACACGGCAGTGGCGACGACTCTTGCCCGCAACCGGCATTGTCTGAAGCAGAGACACCCCGCCAACGAACATTATTTTCAATCCTGGCTGTGGCCTTGTTAAATCTTTTTTTCAGAGCACAGTCCTTCTTCATCGTGCTCAGAGGCTCGAGGCATGGAATCCAAACTTGCGGCATGTGCAGTCTTGTCATGATCACGCCCGTGTACTGCATCAGCTGTGCTCAACGTGTGCCTGATGCATTCGTGCGATTTCGGAGCACCCGCTTGTATCTGCTCCACCTGGACAGGGTGCCGTAATGTTTTTCTCACCGTCCAAGCTAAGGACTGATAAGGGTCTTACCCGTCCGGACACCTGCATTATTTAGCCAGGAAGGGTGCCACCCTGCATCTTAGCCATGTGCAGATACTCAGGCTCCTAACACTGTTGTTGCACTCACCAACAATCTGTCCGCCTGGCTTCTTGTGTGTCACGGTGTCGTTCGATTGTTGGTTATCAAACAGACTGTTGCATCGAAGGTTTTGTGTTGATGTGAAATAGTGGTGAGTGCATGTAGCACTCCCTGCAACCGCTGGTGCATGCATGTTTGGGTTTCCTTGTGGGATTGCAGTACTACACTCACTCCGTTTCTCTATTCAAGTGTGGGATTTGGGCACCTATGCGACACGACACTGCCAGGCTTTCAACTCCGCGAGCCAATGTTGTGTTAGTGCAAAATCCGCATTGGCCTCGGTCGCGTACGCAGAGTGCAGTCGGGATGCAAGGAAAAGACTGTGCGCACGAATGTCTCGTGCTGAGGCCCGCCATTCCGTCGTTGCTCCTGGCGCGCGTTGCCTCGACCTTGCAGGAGCTCGGCTTCCCGAAACCTGCCCAGAAGCGAGACCAAGTGCCGTCCCCACCCGTCTCCCACAATCGCCAACACTATCGGCTATCGCGTAGGAAGTCTAATCGGAACACTGGCAATACTCGACGGCAGGTTGCACTGGCACAGCGATTGTCACACTCGCGGGCCCACGCCATTTCAAACTCCAGTCTTTGGAGATTTGAGATCTGCTCTCACAGGATCGTCTCACTGCGCTTCTGGACAGTGTTTGGCTTGGGTAGTGCAATCAGTGATAGGGAATTTTCGGTGCTGGGCTGACATCTTTCGCACACCCCAAGTTTCGGGACATACCTGTCTGTTTTGGTTCCCACTGGCTGGGCTTGCCGGGGAAGCGTGAGGCCGACGCACCGCAAACCACAAGGGTCTCCGGAACCTGCTTTTATCCCTTCCGCTCTCTGTCTCGCTCCCTCTCTGTCAGTCTCATACAGGCTTTCTGCCTTCTTTGCGTGGTGGTTAGTCTACTCGGGGCATGCTGCAGGGAGCCTCCTTCATCATTGACTTCCACAACTTTGGCTATTCGTTATTGGCACTGAAGACATGCCGGCCATTTTCGTTCATTTTGCCTCATACCATTCGTTTGTGAGCCTCGCTTCAACTTGGGCCAGGTTGGGAGCCCAACATCCGCTTGTCAAGGACTTTGCCTGAGCCGTCATGGGCACAAGCTTGGGTATGTTCTGCGCAGGCCCATCGGATCTACGAGCAGCTCTGCGGCCAGCTTGCAGATGATGCCTTCTGCGTTACAGCACAGCGGGGGCCTTAATGTACTCCAGCAACTTTATGAAGCAACGTTTGATGCCAGAATATGTGAGGATGCAACGTTTCTTAAAGGAGCAGTGGAATGCTGGGGGCCCAGCCTCGCTGGAGTTTGGAGGTCAGAAGCCGTGAGCGGACAGGTCGATGCTCGACCGTTGCATGATCGACCTGCAAGCATCTTCAGGTTCTTGCGCGTGCTTAGCCAAGGAAAACTGTCCGAACGGCTTGTGTGCTGAGGCCAAGCGGCATTGAGGAACAACACAATCTCTTTCAGCGTTTGCGAGACAGGGGCATGTTGGGGATGTTCTGACCTGAGATGGCCCGTGCTTGTGCAAGCTTGCATTGCAGCAAGAGCATTCCGGAGGGTGGACGACTGGTGGCCGGATGCTAAAGGCAGCAACGTTCAGGTGAAGTTGGTTCAATTGTGGAGCAGTCATTGGGTCCGGAGGTGAAACGTTGTTCACTCGGTGGAGCAAGACTGAGGGATACAGCACAGTGCTCGGATCAGCGAAGTGCAGGTCAACAAGACGGTTGAGCGATTGATATCAGAACATGAGGGAAAAGTTCACATCTTCACATCACACGGAGTTTTTTGATGCACAGGCAAATCCCCCAGGCGACCATCTCTCGTTGTTAGCCTAGGTCTTACAGCATGGTGTTGACCACACTAAGTTGGGCTGTTTATGGGGGTCCCATCCATTCAGGCTCGACCTCTTGGACTCCGGATGAAGATTTCGGGCAGCTCCTCGACGCTGCTGGCCTACATAGTGACCGAAACATTCAGAAGATCAACGGCTTGGGAAGCTGACTGACTAAGTGTTCGGTCCAGGCGCTGCCGGCGTTCAACGAGAACCTGGTCCAGGCGGAGTCAAGAAGCATAAACACATACCTTGCCTGCCTCCCTGCCTGCCTGCCGCCTACCTACCTACGTAAATACATACATGCGACAAGCCGACGGAAGCCATTGTTATATCTATATATATATATATAAACACACTCACACGCCGACATACATAGATACATACATACATACATACATACATACATAACCATACATGCCTGCGTATGTATGTATGCATGTATGTATGTATGTAGGCAGGTAGGCAGGTGGGCAGGTTGACAGGTTGGCGGGTAGGCAAGTAGGCAGGGAGGCAGGTAGATAGGTAGGTAGGTAGGTATGTATGTTGTGTGTATTATAGGCTGGTTGCTGTAGCATACCACCTAGGGCCTTCCAAGCTTCAAGGGGTGATGCATGGCAACACACTTCCGAGCCCAGTGTCAGAAGCAGATGTCACGAGCATCCAGGATGATGCCTACACATTCTTGTTAAGCAGAGATACACAGGGACAGGAAAGTCGCAGCAGCCAGTCGGCTGAGCCCTGAACGCTTTTAACTACGTAGCTGAAGGGAGACTCTCTTTGGCAGGCTCATCGCGGTATACACGCTTTTGGTTGTTGCTCTGTGATGATTATAATGATAAGTGTAGTTTCGGTTTCCTTCCTCTTGTTGCTTGGGCCTCTTTTTTGTTGCGAGGAAGCCTTGAGAGAGTGCACGTGTCTTCCGTTACCTTCAGAGAAGAGTGTTTCAGGCAAGCTGAGCTTTTCGGGTGCCGAAATCATCGGCATTCATCAACAAAGGTGGCTGCCGGTATCGCATCGCAGGATCCTTTCGCGGCGCTGGAAAGTAAGTAAGTCGTGTGTATAGGTGATACAATGTGGTTCCTGCCCAGTGAATGTTGTTTTGAATCTCAGGTCCGTGTACACAGTTAGCACATGTCGGTGGATGTCAAGCCGTCGAAGTTCCGTGATTGCGACATCGTGCGATCGCAGGCAAATGCACGAGCTGTTGTGATCGTGACCGGCAAAGGCGACTTGAGGCAGCAGTTCGAGGCCCCCGTCACGCAGTCGTAACGGTCCACGATGCAGCGACTACGTAGTGAACTGATGGTGTTCCATCACTGCCACACAGCTTCCGCTCCAGGAGCGCTTGTGCGGAATGGTGCCGCGGCCCTAGACTGCCACAGTTCTTTAATGCATCGGAGAATGCCGTGGTCTTGCAGGCCACAGTTGCAAGCAGTCCGGGTGGTGACGATGTGGCGCCGCCACTCAGTGTCAAGGCTTTTGCGATTCTGCGAGAGGCCGGACTTCCAAGGCTTAGCTTTGCAGATTATGCTCTGCTGCTGGGTAGCGCAGACCTGGGTCTCAGCACGGGCCTCGGAGGCTGAAGGAGTGCCAAGGTCCGGCCTCGCACTGCCAGGTTTAAAGACATCACCAGAGAAGTATGTCCTTTGTGAAATCGCCTTTGGACAGGGATGTTCGGATTGGGGCTGATTACACAGCTGCTTTTCCTGCATTCTGGACTAAGCAGCCACACAGCAGTTGCTCCGCTCTCGCGCAGGATGAGCAATGCTCCAAGGTTTGAGAGACCAGCTCACGATGCAACACCGGCAAGTGCTGTAGAAGCAGCCTAGAGGAAATAGCTGCTATCGAACACCGGGATCCCTGCAGGATGGTTTTGGGTAGCTCCCTGGATGCTGACGAAGTGAGCAAGCTAACGCATCTACACCATAACCTGCCAATCCGACTACGATTATATACGCATTTGTCCATGTCCATGAGGATTGCTTTTGGAACCGCTCCGAAACGACATAAGGATTGCTTTTGGAACGGCTCCGAAACGAAAACTCGAGATTTTAGTGTTGTCTTGAAGATCGTTTGCTACCGTGCTGCATGCAGTGTCGTAGCAGCTGGGCGGAGTCTACAGCGTATAAGCAGGAGCAGCCCTCTCAACAGGTTTGCACAGCTCCTCTTCAGGCATTGACTTGCCCATGAAGGCCACGTCTTGTGTACATTGAGGCACTCGTCCCAATTGTGTGGTGGAGGTCGTGGACATGTTTGGGGCCGGTCTGCCCGTGTGCGCACGGTCCTTTGCAGCGCTGCCTGAGCAGCGGCCTGATGGATGGGATTTTGACTTTTGTGTGGTCTGTGCAATCCGTGCAATGCCAGGCTTGTCCAGCATGGCGAGAATGGATTGGTGTTCAGTAGCACGGAGGACCTGAGTCACGTTCTGTAATCGGGAAGCGCAGCTTGGAGAGCAGCCCGTTTTGGAGGAGCTTGCGGTGAGTCTGGCGCATGGGCTCGGGGTGAACGCAGCTTGGAGCCGAGCTGCATGTTTATGGCGGCCATTGGCCAACCACGGCTTTTTTGCTGGAGGCTGCATCGACCGATTTGCCTTCATTGAAATCTCCGGCAGGAAAGCTTGTACCTTAGTTTCTTTGTGCTTCACGCAGCCCTAAGCTATTGTCGCAGTTGGATGTAGGCTCGTCCACCGACGCTGTCCCATGAAGATCCTGCTAGCTTGAGCTTCTCGGGTTCGAAATGAGTTTGAGCCAGGAACAAGTGATGGGGACCCCTGGGACAAGTGCTGGGGACCCCTGGGGCTGCCTGTTGCGATGCGATGTGCTGACAGAGGTCCAAGCTCAATGCTTGGGATGACCACTGGGATGGGCACTGAGTGTGACGCATTGTTATTTGGCGGACAGGCTTTTCAATCAGCAGAACCGGCAAATGTGCAATGATGGAAACAAGGATGCGATTGCCTGGCCTGTCTTCCATGCTTATGCGTTGCATGCTGAGCAACGGCAGAGAGCAGGCTGATGGTTTCTTATTATGTGCCAACTCCATCTTTTGAAGGTCAGGATCAACTGCCAAGAAGATCAACTGAGATGCGCAACAAAGGTCTCAACTTTGGTGTTTGCAGCAGGCTTTTCACACACACCTTCCATTCAGTGTTTGTTGTGCCGTGCCGAAAGCATGCTTGAGCCGTACTTTCTGAGCGCTTGCTTTTCCATGCTTTGTGCACATCAGTCACGAGGCCATCATCTCAGCCACAAGCCACTAAAGCTTGCTGCGCAACCATTGCAGAACTGCGTCTGGCTCGAAGTGCTGGATGCATGGATCCAGGTTGCCGGGCAGGACCCGGGCTTCGCCGTCGGATGAACCCACTGGCAAGCACGGCCCGCACACGAGGACTCCGATTTCCCCGGCAGACCCTGCATGGCACCGCCATCAGCAGGGAAGCAAGGCCATGCACAGGGCCTGACATTCCTTGACTGCTTGCCACAGTCCAGAACGTAGGGTGCAGTTCCAAACACGATGTCTTCTTGGATTTCACGCAGCTAGCAGCTAGCAGCAAACATTAAGAATTACGTACTTTGTTTGTCGTTGCTTTTTCACGGCTCGGCCCGCTATCGAGGGGATCCGGATCATTGTCAGCATAGAGATTACTTGGACAGTACTGGTCCTGCACTGTACTAGAGTCTGAAGCATTGAAATGCTGTGATCCTGGAGGCTTCTGTGTTTATCCCCAAGGCTCTGGCAAAGGAAGCACCTCCCGGACCCAGGTTTGTGATCGGTAGGGGTGGGGGTTATTGTGAAAGATCTGGGCTTGCGGCACTCCATCAGGATCCATTCTTGTTCGTGTGGCCTGGCGAAAGAGAATTCTTTTATCAAGGACGCCATGGATTCTGAAGCTCTTGAATTCTTCGACTTCGGGCTGGTTGTCTTTGTCTTGGAGAGTGTGCTGGTTTTTATTTTGAAGTCTTGGGGTTCTAAGCCCTGCAAGTACTGGACCCCGGCAAATGCAAAACGACATGCTTTGTTGTGGCTCAACTCACGGCCCTATGCAGGTTCGGATGTTGCGAGGCAAGGGGACAAGCCGCACACCATCTTGGAAACGATCGAATTGAGTGATGCTCCTCCCTCGCATTATGTGCCAGCAGCACAGAAGCTTCACACTTGTGTCTTGTTCCCTTCTTGTCTGACGTTTCGGTGGCCGCCGAGCTGCAAGGAGAGCGATGATGAGTTCAATTACGAGGCGATATTTTGCACCGAAGAAGTCCAAAGTACTTGATACTCGTACCACTAAGAGCAACAAGACCAGGATTTGCTTAGGCATGCTTAGGCTGCCGCGGTCCCCACTCTCGGTTTACTTGGAAATTTGCCCGGCTATGCTGGAGCTTGTGCAACCCATGGACGACAATGTAGTGCTGCAGGAACTCCCTGAGGATCCAGAACTTCTTGAGCAGGACGACGAGGCAACTGACATACCTGGGCAAATAAGCATGCAACCAGAATTCATGCAATCCACAGGAACAGCTCGATGACATCAATCGCTTGTTGGCAGAGACCAAACAGCCAGCCGATGGCCAGGAGCCTCTGAGCAAGCCGAGCGAGTCTGCGGTTCTGTTAGCAAAGAGTGCTCATACGGGCTGTTTTCAAGCCACCAGCGTCGGTCGAAGGATGCAGCCGAAGAAGCTGGACTAGCCAAGGCAGGGGGCTTTGAAGCCGTTGGGAGCCCATGCCAAGTCTGTGGGCGAGCTGACACTTACACTCGCCCAGTCATGTACGGTGTGATGCGGCTGAGTGTTGGACGGACATATCAAACTCGTGAGGTTGCCTGCTGGGAGTCCGATGGGATCTTGCTAGAGTTGGTTACTTCGCAAACAAGCTGCAACCAACTCCGTCATGGAGGTGCAACAACGTCCTCAAGTCATTGACGATTTCTTCCGCAACTTCTTGCTGAAGTCTATGCCTCTGCTGTGTAGTTGCTCCCACCCCTCAGCCCATGCGCAGTTCAACAGCCTATGACACCAGGTATGAGATGAAGCGCTCCCTCGAGGTCTTCCAAGCCGAGTGGTACGAGATGCAGCAGACGGGGAAGTTTAAGGACCGCGTGCATATGCGTGCATCGTCCAGAGTTCATGTTTCTCCACCTTTGTTTTCTACCTGAAGGATTCGGAGCTGACCATTGTTCCCGATGTCTACACGCGCAACCACGGTTTCCAACAGGAGGCTCCCACAAGTGGACAACAGCTTGGCTGTGCTTCGCTGCCTGAAGTCAAGATCTGTTGAGAGACGACGGCTGCTTCGGACGTGTGTGCTTTGAAGTTAGCACCACAGGCTGACTCCTACAGAGTCATTGGACCAACGTTCATGCATGACCTTGGGAGCACCTACCGAAGTCATCTGCAGCAACCTTACGTTCTCCCCAATCATACGATGATTGCTGCCGCTGCATCTTTCGTGTCTCTTACTTCGACAGCCAGTGTGGCTGCTATTGTTATTGTTCTTACGGGTGTTTCGGTTCTTACCATTTTCGCGTTGTTATTGCTGTATCTGCCAGACAGTATACAATTCTGGGTATTCAACATTCTGGGTACTCAGAATTATGCTCTAATCAAATCTGAGTATTCGTTGTCGAGTAAAAATGCATCCGAGTGTTCGCACCACTATTAGTATTCATGTTGGTGCTGGCACGCATATTCATGCCGATGATAATGTGAAGTTTTCTGTTATTACTTATCATTGATAGCGCCCTACTGCTGCGGCCACCACCACCACCACCACCACCACCACCGCTATGCGGGAGCCAAAAGATCCACCACCGCCACCACGACTACAACTAGTACTAATACTATTATTACTACTACTACTACTACTACGACTACTACTACTACTACTACTACTAATACTACTACCAGCATTACTACCAAGCAACCATCGCAACTATTCAGCCGCAATTGACTTACAAGTTGTGCAGGTAGCTTTTCCCTGAGATGCCATTTGGAGATGCGGGTAACTAGTGTCCTGAATAAAATGTTACTTGTTTGTGTTTTCTGAATGCATATTCGGGGTGTTTGAGTCTCGTTGCCAACTGTGAGCCCGCGGAGCTGTCATTGGCGTGCCAGGTGGGTGACAATGTTGGTGGCTGTTGGGCCAGTGATGGGGTGGAAGGGTGATCTCTCCCATGATGAGTGTTGATTTTGAGTGCAGCGACTTTGCCCTCCAAAGCAGCGGTAGTTTCCGCAACTCTGCAGCGGTAATTGACCTACGAAGAGAAGTGAGTAAGCATATCCTGCCTTCCAAAGTTGTGCAGGTAGCTTTTCCCTCGGATAGCATTTGAAGATGCGGGTAACTAGTGTCCTGATACATGTTACTGTTACTACCTTGCACTTTCTGAATGCTTGTATATTCGGGGTGTCTAAGTCTCGTTGCCAATTGTAACCCGGCGGAGCTGTCATTGGCGTGCCAGGTGGCTGACAAGAACTACCAACTACTAGTTGCTAGATGCTACCACTGACTGCTGCTCACTACCTTTACTACCTACTGCTATCTACTACCTACTGCTTCCTAGTCCTATCTACTATTTCCCGCTACCTCTTACTGCTACCTGCTACTACCTTCTACTGCCTAGGCCTACCTACTGCTACCCATTACTATCCGCTACCTACTACTACCTACTATCCACTACCTGCTATGTGCTACTACCAATACTACCTAGTACTGCCGTACCACCGACTACTAATACTACTACTACGACGACGACGACGACTACCACTAAAAATGCTACTGCTAATACTGCTACTGCTACTGCTATTATTACTACTACTACTACTAATAATAATACTACTGCTACTGCTACTACTACTACTACTACGACGACGACTACTACTACCATTGCTACTACACTACTACACCACTACTACTACTACTACTACTACTGCTACTACTACTACTACTGCTACTACTACTACTACTACTACTACTAAGGAAGCGTAAAGTCACGCGACCTCTGAACAAAGAAAACAAGGGAACAAGGAACACGGCCGGAGTAAGGCTAGTCGAGATACCCAGTAACCCTAAGCAAGCGCGAAGGCGAGCAGGCTTTTCCACGCAGCGGGCGAACAAGCTTTCATTGCGGCCACGTACCACTGCGGGGCACGGGCTAACCAAGGGCTCACAACTACGGCCAGCCGCGCGTGCACTGGCACCGGTGTAGTTGTTTACCTTATTGGTTATTGCTCAAGCGTAAGCCAACTGCTAGAGGGGAGCACCACTGACTGTGGCGCCGTTTGATCTGCAACGGCGACTGGCATAACCAAGGTGCACGAATCTATCTACTACAGCAGACCGCCCTTTCAGCAGCCCCAGTTTTTAAAAGATTCGGGCACCAGCCGTTTCCATCCGTTTCCACTCACTTCGCCGACGAGCCGCTCGGCGCAGAGTCTGTACGCGGGGCATGCTTTCCCCGGAGTCGGCGGTTAGGAGCCGGACCTTGCTCAACCTGAATTCCCTCAGAGGAACTCCACACCCCTTCGTACCATGATCGGTACGTCGCCACCTTCGTGTCGGCTGCAGACATCTGCAGCTCCGTGAGGAACTCCCGGTTGGCTCGGAATGCTTTGGTGAGAATATGGGAACCCACGAACAACGTAACGCGATCCTCCGCATTCGTCGAAGCACGGCTTCGGACTAACGTGGTCTTCGCATGAAGTGCTCCTTGAAAGCCTCTAAGACTACCTCCATAGACCTAGAGAGGGATCGTCCGCAAGTGGTGCGGACTTCAACCTGCGCATCCAGGAGCTGCTGCAGAATCCGTCCTGATTCCTCGCATGCATGAGCCTTTTGCAAGTCGATAAGCAATCGAAGTTCGGCTCCTCGCAGCTTAGGCGCGGTAGCGGCAGCAGTCAGCTCCGGATCGTCGTAGGTAAAGGCGGTAAGCAGGAGCTCCACGCAAGAGGCATCGCCAACTGCCTGCATCAGGGGACCCAGAAAACTGGAATCCGGGTGGAGCTGAACTTGAGTCGCTCCAACTCGCGCCGGGGGCGCGGCGTCTAGGATCGCCAGATTCGCGACTCGTCCGTCTTGAGTTTGCTCTTGGACCACACGTTGAGCCCGCAGCTGGGTGGCTAAACCCTGCTCGCGTCGAATTGAGGCGTCCAAGGACCTCCTCAAACTGTCACATTCACGTCGAAGCAACGCCAATTCAAACTCGGCTCCACTGGATGCAGTAGAACGCATACTCTTGTTAGACATCGCTCCCGAAGGAGATTCCTGACCCTGCAATGCAGCAGCAGGCAATTCCGGGGCGCTTCGACTCGCTTCGACTTGAGAGTAACAGAGCCGAATCCGGCTTACTCGAAGCATTAACTTCGGGGCTCGGTCCTCCGATCCGTTCCGTACGCCAGAACACCAGATACGACTTATCCTCAGACGTATGATGATTAAGCCGTTTCGACTCACATTCCTGATGCAGAATCGCTGCTGCTACTACTACTACTACTACTACTACTACCACCACTACCACCACCACCACCACCACCCCACGACTACGACGACGACGACGACGACGACGACTGCTGCTGCTACTACTACTACTACTACTACTACTGTTACTACTACTACTACTACTACTACTACTACGGGATTAGTATATATTTGACGCCATGCTTTTCCTGGCTTTAGGACTTCCACGACCTGGTTTCAGGGCCTGGATATGCTGCTATTTACGGCATTTCCGTGTTTGTACGTCTTTATCTCTTTAAACAAGGA